GGGGAGATCGAGCCCATTGCGGGGGGGGATTGAGCCCAGTGCAAGGGGAGATCAAGCCCAGTGCAGGGGGAGATTGAGCCCAATGCGGGGGGAGATTGAGCCCAGTGTGGGGGAGATCGAGCCCAGTGCGGGGGGGGGGTGAGCCCAAGGCGGGGGGGGGGGGGATTGAGCCCAATGCGGGGGGAGATTGAGCCCAGTGTGGGGGAGATCGAGCCCAGTGCTGGGGAGGGATTGAGCCCAGCACAGGAGCTATAGAGGCCCCGGCATCAGCAGCAATGGCAAAAGCAGGACAGCCCCATGTGTCCAGGCACCTGCTGCAGTGGTGAGCACAGGGGAGAGCCAGGCCAACACAGAGAAGATTGAACCCTTGTGATGACTGCAGGCCCAACATGGCTAAGCACTTAAGAAGGTCTGCAACACTGAACATTTAACTTTATTCTTTATTTTTCTACTTTACGCTAAGAAGGATTTTAATGTTGAATTTTTAAATTTATTTCCTTATTTTTCTACCTTGCTATGAAGATTTTGTTCCTTGGAACCTTTGTACCGAAGAAGGTGCCTGGAATTGCAGTATTGTACACTTTTCACTGCAGTCTTGAATCCCTGTGCTTGTGTACATGTGACAATAAAATCTAATTCTAAAATTCTGATTCTAAAATTTAACATTTCTTTTGTTCTTGATTATTTAAAACATGGACAGATCATCCACAATCCACAATGTTATAAGACTGGTTTCCATCAGATCGCTCCATCTTTCTGCATCGAACTGACTGAAAATTGTAAAGTAACAGGCTACCTATCAAATAAAGATCGACATTGCATCATTGCATGTTTCTGCATTTAACTGACTGGAAACGAGCTCAGTGAAGTAATAGGCTGCCTTTCAAATAACAATAGACATTGCATATGGTATGCTGCGTAATCAACAGGATTTTTCAAATTCTACATTGGTAATAGCTCATTAGACTTTAAGCAGGTGCATGCTCTATCTAAAAGCCTAAATACTGCAGATGCTGAAAATCAGAAACAAAAACACAAATTGCTGGAAAAGCTCAGCAGGTCTGGCTGAATCTGTGGAGAGAAAGCAGTGTTAATGTTTCGGGTCCAGTGACCCTTCCTCAGAACTGATGGTAGCTAGGAAAAAGTCATTTTTTTAATGCAGAAGATGGGGCAGGAGGGAAGGTCTTAAGAGTAAATGATACATGGAGATAAAGCCCAGAGAGAGAGAACAGTTGGATAGACAAAAGAGTGAAAAATGATCAGCCTAGGAGAATGAATAGCTACTAATGGGGACTGTTAGTGGCTAACAATGGGTTGCGTGTAATAGCAGACTATGTGATAACAACGTGGTGGGGGTTTGAATAAGGACATGAGACATGTTCTATCTATTCTAGTTCTACAGTAGTTAGGATATTTTCTAGTAATCTATAAACTAGTCTACCATCAGTCTAATGTTGAGAAAAACCATGAAAGACGGAGTTCAATGTGGTCAGGCCTGAGGTCAGTCACCTACTATGGATCCAATGAATTAACTTCAAAATCTTTTCAATGGCCCAACATGAACAATCTCAGGAATTTCAGTTCAACTTTTAGTGAGACAAACAGGAGGCTGGAAGAGCACAGCAAGCCAGGCAACATCTGGAGGAAAGGAGCAGTCAACATTTCGGGTATGATTGCTTGTTCACATTGGACTGGTAGAAAAGATTTTGAAGTTAATTCATTGGATCCATAGTAGGTGACTGACTTCAGACCCGATCACATTGCAACGCTGCCCCTGCCATTACTGACATACAGACCTCATCCTGCACTTGTTTCCAGCCTCCTCAACATTTAGTGAGTTTGATCCACAACAAAATGTTTTTCCAATTCATAACAAACAGGAAATTGCAGACTTTGCTCAGATATTTGTGGAATCAGTATGACTCTGAAGCCATTTAAAAATACTTTACAGGACCAATTCCAGGTTTTCCAACCTTCCAGCATCTGTATCACCCCAATTTTCCCTGATGTTAAACAGAGATGTGGTTTGTTTGCCTGGTTGGCTCCATTGCAGATCAGGCATCTCCTTGGTGACCTCCTCTACAGTACGGCCATCTTTTCTATCACAGCCCCTCAGAGGAATATTAAGCCAGTTTGGATTTGGGAATCTTTTGAAAAATGAATTCAGAGGTTTTTATCCATGTTCACATGACCCTTCCATGTCTGCGAAATCCCCACCGTGCCAGTGCAATTTCAGTTTATGCCACCAACATGCCCAATGGAGGCTAAGTGACAGCATGGTTTGGGTTGGAAGACCATTGTTCTGAACTTTTATTTCTGCAATATTGGATTATTTTTTATTTCTCTATTGTCTTATAAGATCTTGTAACTGAAGAAGCTGTAACAAGGTACTGAAAACAAAAAATACTGGAGATCACAGTGGGTGGGGCACCTTTGTCCCTAAAATGGCACTGTCAGTGGAACTCATAAATGTTTCACTCTATTCATTTGAGTACGTGTGATAATAAAGCTTAATTCTAATTCTAATTTAAAAGTTCCCCAGAATGTCTATGTCAATTCAATATCATTCCACAACCCTTCAGTGTACTTTGCCTGATTTATACATTGTACATAATGAGTCACATAGTAACAAGAGCGAGTGTGAAGCTAGTGAAACAGTGAAAAAATAATCCATGAACTAAGCTTTATTTAAAAAAAATATTGCTGCTCCTGCAAGCCGATGAAAATGTCAATAAAATCATTGATGTATCACTAATAGAAGCTTCATATACTTCACATCCCCTAATCTCATCAAAATAGACACTGGAACATTGACAAAAAAAATCTCCAAAAGTGTAATTTATTACAGCCGTATAAAGATGTCAATCAAGCAAAGTTAACAATTCTTTGAATTGATCAAATAGAACACTTGACTGAATTATTGTTATTATTTCTCTGAGCTCACAGCCAAGAATGAAAAATGAGACTTGGGTGATGTTTCTCGTCTCTCAGCACATTATTGCATGGTGAGGTTGTTGATTTGCTCGCCGAGCTGGCTTGTTTTTGTTCAGACGTTCTGTCACTATGCTAGGTAACATCATCAGTGGAGCTTCTGATGAAGCAATGTTATTCTACTCCACTTGGAATTTATACTGTCCGGTCCGTTATCGTGAGTAGTGTCATTTCTGGTTTTGTTCTGTATGGGTTTGTATATAGGGTCCAATTCTATATGTTTGTTAATTGCATTATGGGTGGAGAACCATGCCTCTAGGAATTCCCGTGCGTGTCTATGTTTGGCTTGGGCTGCTATGGTTATATTGTCCCAGTTAAACTGATGGCCTTCATTGTCCGAGTGTACTGATATTAGGGAAACTTCGTCGTATACATATACAAACCCATACTGAACACAATCGGAACTCACCATAACAGACCGGACAGTATAAATTCCAAGCGGAGTATTACAACATTACTTCATTGGAGGCCCCACTGATGATGTTACCGAGCATGGTGATGAAACGTCTGAACGAGAACAAGCCAGCTTGGCGAGCATGTCAACAACCTCACCCACAACCCAACCTACAGATCTTTACTAAAACCTTATGCACATATAGTGCCCACTAGGTGCATGAGTCAGCATTGAGTTAGCATGATATGGATATGGCGGGGAGCATGGAAATGTATGAGGAAATGTATGGAAGGTGACTAGGGGCATGAGCTGGCATTGAGTTGTCATGGGAGGTATATGAGGAGCCATGGGCAGGGGTGGTGAGGGGCTGAGAGGTGAGGAATAAAAGACCTTAAATAGACAGAGATAGTAGGAATTTTCTGAAGAAGGGCCTAGGCCCAAAACATCAGCTTTCCTGCTCTTCTGATGCTGCTTGGCCTGCTGTATTCATCCAGCTCTACACCTTGTTATCTTAAATAGATAGATTCTTGTTAAGCACAGGGAGTGAAAGGTTATCAGAAGTAGCGGGGTGTTGATTTGAGATTATGACCAAATTAGCCATGATCTTATTGAATGACAGAGTAGTCTAAATGATCCATTCATGATTCTTGTTCAAATGTTCATATCTGTGTAAAATCTTTCAACACAACTAGGAACCAAGTTCTATTGTACCATGGCAGTACTTTTAACCAGTCCAGTCTGACATTCGCTCAATTCTGTGACTGCTAACCAACTGCTCCCCCTAGGGTCAGTGGGCCTGACTCCATCCACACTTGTGAACTCCTGTCCCCACACCTCCAGAGCAGAAACAGCATGTATCATTACAATTACTACTAAGGTGGGTCCAATTTCCCTGCTGTGATAGTCAAAATTCAATTCCAAGCCTGAGGGATGAAAACATTTTCTGACAAGGGTCGTATGAGATTGGAGCAATTTTACTGACCTCAGGTCCTCATGACATCATCACAGTGGGTGGTGTTTATTACATTCAGTCAAGTGTAAACTGTTGCAGACCCTCCGAA